TGGGGATGGAGATGGAGATAGAGATAGAGATGGGGATGGGGATAGAGATGGAGATGGGGATGGGGACAGAGAAGGAGAGGGAGATGAAAATGGAGACAGAGATGGAGATAAAGATGGGGGTGGGGATGGGGATGGGGACGGGGATGAGGATGGGGATGGGTGTGGGGATGGGGACTGGAGCTGTAATTTCACTGGCATAGGGAACTTCTACATGACAAAGCCACCATCTCACCTCCTCTGCATGGTCTAGCTCTAGAGTCATCTGGAGCCCCAAGGGCTTATGTGACTGGCCCAAGGTCATAGAATCCACAGAGTAAGTACGCTAGAGATGGACCATGAATGGAAGTCTTCCTGGCTTTGAGGCTGGCTGTGTATTCACTATGTCCAACTGTCTCTCCAGAACCAGTAAAGTGTTTTTCTATTGATATGCCCTTTTTTGCTTCTATAGGAAGAGCATGAATCTCACTCCTAAAACAAAAGGCCCACAGAGCTGTTCTTCTTGGTTCCCTGTCAGTGCAAAAAGAAGTGAAGTCACCTGGAAGATGACAAGTCCTGACCTATAAGTCCATCCAGCTACTAGGAAGCCCATAATGTTTACATATTGAGGGCAGGTTAGACAGTGCCGAAGGTTTACTAAACATTAGAATCAACCTAAGAAATGAGAATAAGAAGTTCCTAAAAGGAGATTATATTCTAATGCCCACAGCAGAAAAGACCACTTATCAAGTTGTTGGTGGTCATACTTCAGCAAAAGAGCAACTTCTTTGATTTTACAGAAAAAAAAGTTAGCCCTTGGCCATCCCCATTTGAATTTCACAGCACTTCTCAATGTCAGAAGTACAGGTTGTTACATCAGAGGAATAATCTTGGTCAGAACTGTCATGGGCTAATGCCTGGCAGCAGGTTTGAAACCTCCTCATTCTTTACCCTTCATATCCAACCAAATGGCTCTTCCTACCACCCCAACATCCCTCCAATCAACACCCTTCTCTTTACACGCCTGGCCACCACCCTTGTTTGTGTGCTCGCTCGTCCTCTCTCTCCTGTACTACTCCAAAAGCCTCCTCTTTGCTCCCCCCTGCCTCTCTCCCTTCTTTAATCTATCCCCCACAAAGCTGCCAAAGTGATTATCCTAAAGCACATCTCCAACCAAGTCACTCCCTTATTCAAACTTTGCTTCTAAAATAAAATAGAAATGCCTCTCTTTGACTTTCAAAGACTTTCACAACCTGGCCTCAGTCTCTCTCTCCAGCCTCATTCTATATTACTCCCCTGTATCACTCCCACACTCTACTGTCCAATCAAACTGGCCTTCTTGATGTTTGTCACACACAGCACTGCATTTTCCATTTCTAGGTCTTGATGCTGGCCATCCCCTATGCCTGGAATGCACTTCCCGTCCCACGTCTGCCTTCAAGAAGCCAGCACTTCCTTCCAGAGTCAGCTCAAGCTTCACCTTCTACATGAAGCTTTTCCTGCTCCCTCCCCCTCTCCCCACTGATAGCGGATATTACTTTGTACTCATTACACACACACACACACACACACACACACACACACACGAATGTAATCAACTTGAAAACAGTGACTATTTCACTTTTGTCTATCACCACCTCCTACCACACTGCCTCACATATATCAGGCCTGAATAAATGTTTGATCAATCATAAATTTAAGGTAACATTTATTTCCTAAGTATCAACAGAAGGATAACCCAGGAATATTTTTTACCTGAGCTGGCTTCTCACTGACATTGGTCTTTTGCCATCACAGATATATCTATATAAAAACTGTTAGGTATCCTTGACTCTGGTCCAAAGTCTCTCTAAGGATGATAATTATAAGTAGCATTTATGTAGAGCCTTGAGGGTTTCAAGGCACTTTACAAATATAATCTCATTTGATCCTCAGAACAACCCAGGGAAGTGACTTGCCCAGGGTCACACAGACAGCTATTAAGTGCCTAAGGCCATATTTGAACTCAGGACTTCCTGACACCAAGTCCGACAATTTACCCATGACCGCATCCACTATGAAATAACATATTGACAATGAGGAATTGTCATTTCTAAAGGGAAAGCCTACCTGTTGATTAAATGCTGAATTTCCACCTGGCATAGGTAAACTGGAGGGTGCAACTTGAAGTAAATCCAGAGGAGAGCCCGGGTTAACGCTTTTATTCTCATTTGTGGAGTAATTCCACACCAAGGCACTTGGGCAACAAAGAGTTACAGTCTGAAGATAAACAAAGGGGAAACATTCCGTTATTGAGGGAGACTGAAAAACAACAGATAAGACGATGCTAGTGATGATGGTGACTGAATATTTTGCTCCCATCCTCCCCATTCCAGCCAATCCAAGGCAATCATAAGAAAATTCACATTTCACACACAAAAAAAGAAAGGAAAACCAGCAGGAAGATGTGAGCTGACTGAACAAGCCAGCAGGAGGCTGAAATCCTACATTTCTCAGCCTAACATCCCAGTCCCACAGACACGTCTCAAAAACGAACCATCATCTTTTTCCTGACGCTGGGAAGAAAATTCATCTTCATGAAAATAAAGATGTCTCTGATTAGTCATTTGTTTTTTAATTAGAAATTTAATTAAAATGTTTAATTTTCTTGCATCATCAAATCTAAAATGGCATCTTGAAATCAGTAGGTTCTCTCTGCATCTGTCTTACTTTAATGTGACCTTCCAATAACAGCGTTTTTAGATAGCTTCTTTGAACATTGAAAATATCACATCTTACCAAAAAAGTAATTGAATTTGGGGAACAGCATAAAAAGAGCTAGCAAAGGAGAAAACATGAAATCCAAACCATTTATAACTATGGCGCATAAAGCTAAATCCTAGTGTTTTGGGTTTGTTTTGGGGTTTTTTGGGGGGGAGGAATGGGAAAAAAACTGAGGAAAATTAAAGTCTGAATTAAATGATTGGTGTTGTTCAATCACTTTCCAGTCATGTCTGACTGTTCATAACCCAGATTTGGGGTTTTCTTGGCAAAGATATTGGAGCAGTTTGCCATTTCCTTCTCCACCTCATTTTACAGATAAGGAAACTGAGGCTTGTCCAGGGTCACATAGATGGTAAGTGCCTAAGGCCAGATTTGAACTCAAGAAGAGAAATCTTCCTAATTCCAGGCCCCCTGCACTCTATCCACTGCACCACCTACCTGCCCCAAATTAAATGATAGCAATTTGCAATTGTGATGAGAAATTTCACTTACTTGTAAAACATCTCCGTAGAAACAGATGGGAGCAGACATTAAACTCTGAACAAAACCAGAGTGTCCCACCTTCTTTTCCCTACTTCATAAAATAGACTGTTCCTCTTGCAGGTCTCCTCACAGTTAAAAAATACGGAGAGACCATCATTGGTCTACAAACCTCAGATGGAAAAGTCTCATTGTGCATGAATTCAGTGCATGGGAACTCAGAGCACGGCAGGTGTGTTTAGATGGGAAAGGAGCTATCATGCCAGACAAATGACGAAATCCTGATGTCGTCCTAGCAATTATCCAATCAATTATTTAAGCATTTATTAAATGTCTGCTATTCACTGGACACTGAGTCTGGCACTAAGGATGCAAATAAAATAAAGGAAACCATCTCTACTAGTTGCCATCTTGTCGAGTTATACAAAGAGGCGTCAAAAGTGATTTGGGGAAGAGAGCTACTGAGTCTTTCCATGCCTCCTTGATTCTAAGCATGTATTGATGCAAATCAAAAGAATCAAAAAGTCAATTACCAAGAGCAAACCAATTTTCCTATCAGGATGTCAACGGGTCTGCCCTTAAAGGAACACTCTTCAAAGAATCATTTAGGCATGAAAAGACTCGAATTTGGTTAAGGAAAACTAAAATTTCCAACAAGTGACAATGGTTAACAGTTTTGTGCGTATGTGTGTATGGCTTTTTTGTTGAAGCTGTTGTTCTCGGCCTATGATTTAACCAGGGTGGAAATCCTCTTCGCTGACATAGATCAGAAACTCATCTGCAGCATCTGGTTTTAGAGAGAAATGCTTGGCACACTGAGATCAAGTGACTGGCCCATGGTCACACAGCTTGTGTGTGTGTGTGTGTGTGTGTGTGTGAGGGGGAGAGGGAGGGAGGGAGGGAGGGAGGGAGGGAGGGAGAGAGAGAGAGAGAGAGAGAGAGAGAGAGAAAGGCAAGACTTGAAAACCCTGGGGCAGCTAGGTGGCTTCTAAATGTCACTGCATTGTGTGTGTGTGTATGAGTGTGTGTGTGTGTAGAAACTTTTCAGTTTTATGTATTTAGAATTGTCCATTTTAGGGCAGTTAGGTGGCTCAGTGGATAGAGCACCCTGGAGTCAGGAGGACCTGAGTTAAAATCTGGCCTCAGACACTTAACCCCATTGCCTAGACAAAAAAAAAAAGACTTAAAAACCCAGATCTTCCAAGTTTCTAAGCGGGCCCACTAATCATTAGGCCACACTGTCTTTGAGTTTCAAAATTCTGGTCCCCAATTCGTAGTCACCAGACCTAAGGTAGGCAATCCTCTGGCTGGGAAATTAAAATATCTCCATCAATATCAGGGCTCCTTGGGGAGAAAATTCATTAAAAACTCTACAATCTACAAGTGGAAGATGCCATATTAGATGCTGTCACACCTACAGGCATTTGAATAGCACCCTTAGAAGCAGCATCTGATAGAAAACCAAGGCTTAAAGGTATACCTGCAGCATGCAACTAAGTCCATAAACCAGCGGACGATGCTGTGGGCAGGAAAGGAAGTCTGAGCCGGCCAGCTGGACTGGGCTCATTACCGGCCCAGGTGCAGCAGGGCTTGATGCTGACAGACCTGGATTGTTTGGGCCAATCATCATGTGAGGTGAATGCGCAGCTAGGAGGTTAGGACTGTCGTTCAGCAGGAGAGACAGCCGCCGGGCACAGAAGTAAGCAAGACGACGGGACAGGTAAGCTGACTGGACAAACTCTTCTGAATACTGAAAGAGAAAACACAGCACTGGAGTTAGTCATTTCATGCCCAGTTGGTCTTCAGAGTTCAGAAAGAAGAGTTCATCTCTCTTCCCCATAAAAATCTCAGATGCATCATCTTAAATTTAGGTAAATCATGGTGCAGCTATTAAAATAAACCAACTGACCATGACACGGACTAAAGGAAGGCGAGGAGAGGTCTAAAATAATTTAATACTTTTTAATTTTCCTTTTGAGGACTGTTGGAGTTGGTTCCCAAGGAAATCTGCCTTTGTGGAGGGAACTCCAGGAAGAACTTTTAGATTATGTATTAGAGAAAAAAGAGCTGCAAAGGGCGCTGGATTGGAAAATGTGGGATCACAAAATTTGCAAGCTGGAAAGGACGTCAGAAGCATCTCAACCATCCTATACGAGAAAAAGAATCCTCTCAACTGAATTCCCCCAAATGGACACCCAGCCTTTGTCTGAAGAGAAACATGCTTCCATTGAGACCCATTCAACTTCTGGAAAATGATTTAAAAGGAAGTTTTCCCAATGTCAAGCCTACCTTTCTATCTGCCACTTCCCTCCATTTTTTCTTGCTCTTCCCTTTGGGGCCCAAAAGAACAAATCTAATGGAGCTCCATATACTTGAAGGCAGCTACATCTGACTCTGCTGGATTCTCCTCTTCAAGAGAAAGCTTAGCACCCCCTGTTCCTTCTATTCATACGTTGAGATGGACTCAAGGCCCTTCAAAATCCTTGTTGCCCTCCCCAGGACATACTTCATGTTATCAAGATGTATCTTAAATGTGGTGGTGGTGGCTGTTGTTTGTCTGAAGGACCATGTCATCAAGAAGGTGATGCCATGCCTTCCAAGTGAATTAGATTTAAGTGTGGAAGGGCTGTGCAAAGTCACCAGTTTCACTTTCTCCTCAGGAAGCATCTGGGTCCAGTGGCAAGATATAAACCAGGATGACTGGAGATGGCCCCAGTGCAGTGGGAGACCTTGGCCTTTTTAAGCTGAGGTCTTTCCCAGGTCCCAGACCAAGACCCACTCAGGCATTGTTTAGAGTGAATGTAAATAGACTGAGGATCTTCCCCTTCCTTTTTTGACTAGGTAAAAGAGGCCATTCTTTGCCTCATTTCTTACCTAGCCTTCATCACTGAATGGACGTTGCCTCAGTCAAGCTGAGAAACTTAAATGTGGTACCTAGAGCTGAACATTAGTAGTTTAGATATATGATCCTGTTTGATGGTAAGCTCCTTGAGGGCAGAAACTACCTTTTGCCTCTTTATATCCTGGCACATAGTAGGAACTTAATATTGTTTGAATGATCGACATGACCTAACTGGGGCAGAGTATGGCATAACTGTCACCTTTTAATTTGTAGGAGCTGGGCCTCTAACACAGCCCAAGATTGCATTAGATTTTTGTTTTTTGTTTTCTTAATTTTGGCAGGCATATTACACAATTCCCACATACTGAGCTTACAGCCCCCTAAACCCCTTAAGATTTTTTCATAATGTAATTGGGTAAAAAATAAAATATTAAATTAAAATTTAGAAAAAGACATTTTTGTAATCAAACTGCTCTCTGCCATGCCACCCACTCTCCATTTTGTACTTGAGAAATTAATTTTATGAAGCCAAATTAGGACTTCCCATTTACCTATGAAGATAATTGATCCAAGCCTCTATTGGGCTATCCTTCATTCAAGTCCCACTCTGATGATTTATCCTGGCATAGAGATGCCTCTGAATTCTCAAAGATTGGTTCGTTCAAGCAAATGTAAAATACTGGAGCATAAAACCAGGGACAGACAACTGTCTTTCAAGAAGCAATCTGGGTCATTTCTGGGCAGATCATCAACAGTCAGCTACCATGGGATGAACTTTTTGGAGGCTACAGACTTGTTCTCTACTCTCTCTCAATGATTTCTCTAGCTCTCTTGGGTTCAACTATCATCTCTACCTAAAACCATGTATACAGCCTGCTTCTTTCCTCTGGGCTCCATTCTCACTACCTGCCTGCCAGGTGTCTCCACATGCTGGTCTTTTGAATCTACAGCCAATGTTCCTTTGAGGGAGAAGGAGGAAGGAAGAAGAAAGAGACAGGTTTCCCCACCCCATTACTCACCACCATCGTATAGTGTGTGACATGCCATTTCTTAGCTTTACTATCTTTTATCAGATCTATTTATCAGTAATTCAATGATAAACTGCACCTGCAGCATTAGTGGTAGTAGTAGTTTGAGGAGGTCATCATCCACTGGTCTGATTTTTTCCAGGACATCCAGGATCCAGGTCAAATATTCATGCCGTTCAAGCATTCCTTCCTAAAATAAAACAAATATGTGTGAGGCAGAATTAGCCTATGTTGGACTCATGAAGGAACACTAGAGTCTGGTTACTTTCAGCTTCTACAGTAGCACATTACTTCCTCATTCCCATCCTTGTTAACCCCATCCTTCCCAAGTCCTTTCCACTTCCACTGAGCCCTCTGAAGCTCTCTTCTACTATCAGAAATGGCCTTGCATTTAGATCTGTGCTCCCCGCCCCCTGAAATTAGGTTGTATATATTCCATATATAGGTATGTATTGTTTCATCCTTCACCCAAAATAGAAGTTAAGTTTCTTGAGTGCAGGGATTGCTTTCTTGTGTTTCTGTACCCCCAGCATTTAGTAAAGTATCTGGCATATAGTAAGCACTTAACATAAATTGACTAGAGCAGATTTTAGCCTCCACTCAATTTCCCCAATCCTTGCAATCATGACTTTTCCTGAAAATTATAAATGGCAGGTAATTTTGCTTTAGTCTAAATCATTAATTCTCAAGCTTTTTGGCCTCAGGACTTTTTCACACTCATAAAATTATGGAGGACAATCCCCCCACAATGAGTTTTTGTTTATGTGAGATATATCTATTGATATTTGCTGTATTAGAAATTAAAATGTCTTAGTATTATTATGAAAATAGTGTTGACCTCACATATGCTCTGAGAGGGTCTCCGAGACTCCCAGGAGTCTCCAGACCATACTTTGATAGCCGCTGGTTGAAATAAATTCTAAACAAAGTCTAACTAAAGAAACAACCAATGAGAATTCACTAAGTGCCAGGTAATATGCTAGGCACTATAGATACAAATACAAAGGATGAAACAATTTCACAGCTAACAGTCTAGCAGCCATATCAGCACCAACAGATTTATGAACAAATATCCTCAAGGCCCACTATAGAATAAAATGATGGATTTTAATCTTTAATGTCACTTTTTTTCTTATAGATTAGAAGAGTATTAACAGTAATAAATTAGTAAACATATAAGTGAAAATAGTTGACTATACACATGAAAGAGAATGTGCCACAGTAGATAAGACAGCTGGCCTTGAAGTCAAAAAGATTTGGGCTTAATTCCTGCCTCTGGTGTGTATTTGTTGCATGGTCCTGGGCAAGTTACATAACCTGTACCCACATGCAACTCTCCAAGACTAGACATGGCAGCGCAGGTCCAAATATGCCCCGGGAGAAGAAGTGAACTCACTGAGCATTCCCCACATCAACGATATCTCAGGTTTACGTCAAAAACATAGAGACGGGGATATATAAAGGCCTGGGTCTAGGATTTCATGGGTAAAATGAGCTCCCTGGTATAATATACATACAAAAAATTATGTGTGTATGCATATGAGAGAGGGGAAGCGAGGGGAGAAGGAGAGGAGGAGAAATAGGGGGAAATGAAAGGAGGCGAAGAGGGAAAAGGAGAAAGGAAGGAAGGAAGGGAAGAAAAAAATGAAAGAAGAAAAAGAAAGGTTAGTTAAGTGCATTTTAATTAGCCCTGACTTAATCACAGAAAAATCAGCCCTTCTTGGAAAAGTTACCTGGAACATATAGAATGCCAGTTTTTCATTGTATTCCCACTGCTTCAATGCTTGTTCCACGTCTTGAGGCATAACCATGGAGCCATTGCCTGGGGCGGAGGCTAGGTGATAAAAATCTGCAATCTTGGACAATTGTTCTCGAAGGTATCTGGTAGAGATTTGGGTCCATTCTGTTAACAAACAAAAGAAAGCTTAGAACATCATAAATTTCCCAGGCAAAATAAAGGGCAATACAGAGCATGGGATACAGTTGGCACTTTAATAAATGCTTGTTGAATGCCAAACGAATGAAAGTGTTAAGGACTAGAACTTGAAGTCAAGTCCTTTGACTCCAAAATCCAGGGCTTCTTTTCAGTACTATGCGGTCTGTAAATACCAAGAGAATATATAATTTCCTTTGACTTCTAGGAGGCTACCTTTCAACTCTAAATCATATAATTATATTGTCTGTAAATGAAAAATGAACTCTCAATTAGCTGAATCAGCTTTCCTGCTCTTCAGATAATCTACAGAGACTAAGAGTTAATCTTCAAATCATCTACAGACTCTTCTTCACTCTACCCAAAGAGGATCAGGACTAAGCACAGAATACAGAGACTTTATGTCTAATGGGATACTGTCTCCAATCTGTTTTCCCAGTTGATAAAGATTGTTGGGAAAACTAGCAAGTGATCTGGCAAAAATTAGGCTTAAACCAACACCTTATGTCATATTCCACAATGAATTCTAAATTAACCTATATGTATGGGTGACCAAAAGCTAGATAAGCAGCCAAAAAGAGGTACAAACAGTTCTCAAAAGAATTACAAACTATTACAGCTATGAGAAAATGCTCCAAATTGTTAATAATAAAAGTCACCTCAAAGCAATCCTGAATTTTCACGTGACATCATGAAAATTGGCAAAGATGGAAACAGTCGATGTTAGAGGGTTTGTGGGAAGATAAGCACACTAGCACATTGTTAGTAGAGCTGTGAATGAGTACAATCATTTTGGAAAGCAATTTGTAATTATACAAATAAAGGGACTAAAATGTCCATATCCTTTGACCCAGAGGTGGGACTAGGCTTATACCCCAAGAAGGTGATTGATCAAATGAAAGTCCTCATATACACCAAAATATTTGTAGCAGCACTTTTTGTAATAGCAAAAAACTGGAAACAAAGTTGATGCCCATAATTTGGGGAATGCCTAAACAAATCACTGTGCTGCAAGAAATGATGAATATGATGAATACAGAGAAGTACGAAAAGATCTACATGAACTGATGCAGAGTAAAGTGAGCAGAACCAAGAAAACAACATATACAAGGACAACAATAATGTAATAAAAAACACCAACAATCTAATGTTAAAGGAATTTTTACTTCCTTTTATTATTTGGGATTTAGGGCAATTCCTTCAGCAAATTTTGGTAAACTAAGTATTAATATTAACTTAATATTAACTAGCTTCACCTGACCAAAACCATGGGATATGAAAATTTACTCAGAACCTTAAACATTCCTTACATAAGGAACCAGAAGAAGAATCTCAACTGTCCCTGACTCCTTGGCAACATGTACATCTTTTTCCTCCGTCAGCCTATTTGTGAAATCTTTAAATTTAATCTGTAACTTGACTTAGTTTACCTATAGAGCTTTTTGGATAGTCTGTTTCCTTAGGGAATATATGGGATTATGAATCTGTTTAACTAAGTTTGTTCAACATTTATGACATTGATTATGGATCTATCTTTTAACTTTTATCTTTGGCCTACGAGGAATGTACAAGATTGCAATATGTAAAAGAATTATTTCTCTGTCACTCTTGACGTAATTTTGTCTACAAGAAGCCTTGTCAGAATCCTCACGTTGATTCAGCTTTTCTCTTGAATGTAGAGGAGTGAGAAGAGAGGTAGAAACAAGTATAAACAGCTTTTTTTTCTAGTAGTCTGGCTGAAAAAAAAGAAAGAAAGATAAAGGATAAAAGCTTGAGTGAATTCTGGGTATACTGAATTTTTGTTAAGGAATAGGGAGACTTGAGTTTGTTCAAAGGCAGCAAGGATAGAACCAGTAGATAGGGAAAGATTACAGACTAGAGAGAGGGGATAACAGAGAGCTATCCACTACAGAAGTTGGAAAGAGATGGAGCCAGTGGTGCATCTAAAGAGGCTGGCTAAGATGGGGGAAAGGACCATTCTGCCAAGAACTAATGCATAGCAGTCCAGGGAAACAATGTACAAGTTTATTCCCACTGATAATGGAAAACGAGAAAACACTACAAATATCATAACCTCAAGAAAACTGAAATACAGCTGAAGAGAAAAATGAACCTGCAGAGAACTTGGCATGAAATCCAGCAAAGAGATAGGAAACAGGTTGGTGAAATGGAAGGAGAGCTGGATTGGGAGTCATGGATCGCAGATTTTGCATCATGGTTCTGCCGTTTGCAATGTGACTTTGGGCACTCTGGGTCTCCGTTACCTCATCTGAAAAATGAGGGAATTGAACTGGATGGCGTTTATGGTGCCTTCTGGCTCTAAAATCTGTGAATGGTCCTTGCTCAGGACATATCCATGTCCCAGAGTTCAATGCCACAGATCAGTCCCCGTCTAATCACAGATGACAGTTGAAGGAAGGCAATAAACAATGACAAGGCATAGATTTGCCAATGCTCCAAGAGAACTCCATTTTGGGAGCAACAAACAATTTCAAAAGAATTCAGGGATCCATTTTCAAGCTGTCATAAAGAGATGATTCCAAAAGGATGGTGAAGGCCATGGAAACTTTGCCTCACAAAGGGATTCCCCCACTGCCATCAAAACAAACAAACAGAGATGGCGCTCTTTGGAACAACTTGCTTTTTCCAGGATTCCATAGAAATTTTCAAATGTGGCTGAATGAAAATGCCAACTTCACTACCTATTTAGTAGTAACTCACTGAACGTTCACTAAAAAGGATTGAAAATTTTCTTTTCATCCTTCTTTCCTTATCATTCTCTGTGAAAAGATGACTTTCTCAAGGCAAATTATGCCCAATTCCTCAGTGACACCATGAAAAATCAGACACAATGATTCATTTGCATTACTTATGCCACAGACCAGGAATATCTGAAAATAACTCCAAACCGGGAGTGGTTACATATTTTGTCCATATCCTTTGGACAACAATAATCCCAGTTGTTTTCAGTCGTCTCTAAGTCTTCAAGACCCCAACTAGGGTTTTCTTGGCAGAGATACTGGAGTGGTTTGCCATTTCCTTCTCCAGCTCATTTTACAGATGAGGAAACTGAGGCAAACAGGGTTAAATAACTTGCCCAGGGTCACACAGCTAGTAAATATCTGAGGTCAGATTTGAACTCAGATCTTCCTCACTCCTGGTCCTATGCTCTCTTCACTATGTCACTTAGCTGCCCTTAAAACTCATCTAGCGTATGAAAATTCATCTACTGAGTATGAGGAATTTCCAGGGCCTGATGTGCATCTATTCCCTTTGGCTTGGGGGATTAAAGAATGTAACCTACATGTGGATCATTTCTAAGAATAAGGCAGATGGTATGTATAAATAACACTTTTGCTTTATCACTACCTGAGTGAGACACAGTAGAGGGTATTGGGGTCAGAGACAGTTGGTGTATCAAGTCCTATTGAGTGCTAATTAACTGCCTTTGGTATGGAGGGGGATAATAGGTAAAAGAGAAAAAATGGCACCACCCAAGCTTTTAAAATACACCAAAAGCCTCAAATTCAAAACACCACACTCTTAATAGGAGAGAATAGTGTTCTCTCCCTCTCCTTAAAAGGCTGTCTTTTTTTAGTTTTTTCCGTCACAGAAGTACCCCATCACTGTCATTATACCTGCTAGTGTATACCTTTTAACATATGCTCATTAAATAACATTTTTATATTTTTTCCCATTTTATCCTCCCTACAACTTCATCATTCCCACCCCACTCTAAGCCCGTTTTTAGTCCCTTGAATAACAATTACTCATTCAACACATCAATCTTAGCACTCATTTTTTTCTCTACATTGATATGGCAACTTAATTGCTTTGAGAGGCTTCCGCCTAATATGTAGTCAACATATATTCACTATATGGTAAATGATTATAGTTCATGGTCATAAATCACCCAACCACTGGAAAGTAAAGTTGCAGTATGTTGTGTGATAGATTTTTAATTGTTTCAGATTAACAGGTTGAGATTTGGAGTCACAAAGGTGGAAAGCAAAAAGGCTGGGGGGAAAGGGGAGGACGCCTGTCATAGCCTCAGTACATTTTATGAGTCATCTTTATTTGACAGTGAAAGTACAACATAAGTTATGTTACCACCATTATCAATTTTAAGTATTCAAAAATGAATCAGAAGCTCAATCATCCCACTCACTTAAACAAATAGGGAAGAAAAACTTCAATTACACCCATCTTCTGGAAGTCTTAGACTAAGTAACCAACCTATGCACTTATCAATAGACACATTTAAAGAATGGATAACTGATGCTTTCAAATAAGTGGCATGGAAGAATCTGTCCATTAGGCACAAATGAAGGTAGAGCAAGCCTTTAATGAAGCAGGCCTTTTTAAAGGTGTATGTATGCAGGCCATTCTTAAGGTCTCTTGACTGAGTCCATCAATGATCTGCTGATTTGCAAACTGACAACAAGGGACATTGTGTTCTCAAAGGAGCTACCATGCAAACCTTCAAACCATGCAAACAAGGGCTATCTGCATAAAGACCTAGCATATTCACAATTATATTTGTTGTACCTCAAAATATGATAAAGCATATTGGGTTTTGCTCTTCTGTTCCCCAAGTTGGGTATGTGTGTTTCAAATAATGTTTGGATAAATGAAGAGATCCAAATGAGCGCAGATATTATTTATTAACGAATGTCATACGGTTCCTTACGCTATAACTTATAAACACACCTGTAAAGACCATTCTAATAGCAACTAGGAGGCAGAAGTCAAACCACGGAAGGCTAATGCTGAGTGAGACACCTTAAAAATTCATCTGGTCCTACTCTGCTCCCCTCATTTTATAGAATTAAAGGTAACCATCCCTCAGAAGCTAAAAATCTGAGTAGGAAACCAAGCAGATGAAAAGCTAAGCCAAGTGCCAACAAGAATCCAATTAAGAGATAACTCCTATATTACTTTCCAATTTACATGTATTTTCAGAGTAAAAC